CCTCAGTGATACAGGGGGCACCAGCCTCCTCCTCTTGTGACCCTCAAAACCCCTCAGTGACACTCAGGACTCCGCATATTTCAATTTCCAAAATGTCCCCGACTCAGCTTTTCCCTCCAAGATTTTCAGTCTGTCCCTCACACTTTACCTGAGATCTTCCCTCAAAACATCCCCTGCATGTGCTTTCCAAGTTCCCTCAGCTTTACCTCTCTGAAACTCTTAGTCCCCTTTTTCTTACCTTACCAAGGGTGACGAAGTTCAAGAAGCTTTTTCCTCAATAACTCCTCTGAAAGACCGTGCTGCCCTTCTGACGCTGCTGCTCAACACTATATTACGTCTGTAACAGCCCAAAATCTTCTTTAGAGCAACTACACAACCTTCTGCCGAGCTTCTCCAAAGCGCCTTTTACCTGCACCCGTCCCACAGACCGGGGAGTGGCGGGACACTGCAGCTGAGGTGGCTGAGGGGGCTGAGGGGAGGGCGGGAAAAGCAGCGTAATGGCGACTGCCCCGCCCCGCCCCGTCTCGTCTCCCTCAGGGCACCCTCAGGGATCCTCGGTGACCCTCCAGAGCACCCTTTTCGCCCTGTGTTCCTCACAGCCCCTAAAGGGACAGAGGAGACACCCACTTAGCCCTCGGGGCACCCTCTTCCCCCTCAGAGACACACAGAACACCCACCCCTCCTCAGTGATACAGGGGATACTCAGGTCCCTCTCAGTGAGTCACGCAGCCCCTCAGGGGTACACAAGGTACCCACCTCCCCCTCAGGGACACAGATGGCACCCACTTTCCTGGAACAATTTTTTTTTTGAATGATCAAGTTGGGATCATTCACACTTGAAAGTCCTTAAAAAAACCCCACATTTGTCTGAGGCACTTCACACACACTAACCAGATTTTTGAGATGAATTTTGGAATGCTCAGGAAATTACAGAAGCATGAAGCCTGTGAATAACTTAGGAGTATTTATGAAGGACTTGTAGTTAAAGGGCCTGTTAACTTGACATGATCCAGGTGCAATAGAGGAAAAAGGCAAAGGATTTCAGTGATGAAGAATTAAATTCATACAAGTAATTTATAGAAAATAGGCCTAATTTAACTATTTGAGAGATTACAAATGTAATCCTACTGTGGAGATATCATATGCTTTAACTGTTAGCTTGTTAATCTAGCGAGCTCAATATGCTACTGCTCATTTAAAATAGCTGGCACTGTAGCACATACAGTCTGGAACTGATGGGTTAGAAAAATATTGCCAGTGAGAAATAATCATCCAGTGAGGCTGTTTAAAATTGTGTCTTCCAAAGGAAAGCACTCAAAGAAAAGTGATGCCAGTTTTATGCATCCCCTGGATTTAAATATAAAATCACCATGGACAAAATATGCAGATGACACAGAAATTTGACAGCATGACAGATAATGATGCTGAAGTCACACAGAGTAACATGGATAGTTTGGTAAAGAGAATAAACCCGTGCAGTTAGCTGCTGTTTTAATATATTCACATGAAGAGCTGTATGTCTAAAAAATAAAATTTTTAAGTATGGAGGGGAGGACAGTATCCTTGAAAACAGCAACTTTGAAAAGTGCTTATAAGTCATGTTGAACAACTGAGTCAACACACTGTTGTGTGTGTTGTGTGTGTGAGTTAAACAGGATTAAGAAGACTTTTAAAATCTATTCAGGAAGGCAGTGTGTAGGAATAGGAAGGCAATTTTTTTAATGAAGCCAGTACTAGAATATTGCTTACAAGTCAGGTGTCAAGTGTTTCTAACAGTGGAAGAAATGAAGGCGGTGTAAGAAGAAAGCCACAAAGATTATCTGAATGCTTGAAAAAAAGCCCTACTGTGAAGGACAGAATGAATGCAATTCGCTAAGCTTATGAAAAAAGAGTTTGAAAGGTAACTTGATTGTAGCAGAGAAGTACTAACACACGGAGAACATACCATGTATTAAAAGGCTTTTTAACCTCAGGGAAGAGATTCCTGTATCCTAAACCATTCAACAGCCAAACAGGCTGCCGCCCTGCTTACAGGGGTCTCCAACGCGGGCACACGCCCAGCCCCTGGCTACAGACGGGTCGCGGTGCCTGTTATTTACATTTGAGTAAGCAAGACTGTGTGTTATAAATAAATCCCCGGAGAAAAGTTTTGCTGCCCTTTCTGCAAATAGTGTTATTATCCATAAATGGAAGAGAAAATTGGAGAATGCCTGTGCGAAATACTTTGTGGTTATTCAGTTTTAGTACCATGTATGCATGTCTATCCCCAGTCTTTGTTATGATAATTGCAAGGAGTTACTCTGAATGGATCATCAATGGATGTGACCGGAGTGATGCTAAATATCGATCATTTGTGTGTCAGGTGTTGGATGGCAGTGTAAAACCATGACAAGAAAAAAGTGTGTGGTATTTTTTCCTTTAAACAAGACGCAGAGATAGTTGATACAAGGGTACAGTATTAATTACTCAAGTGCCATGGTACCTCTGTAAGTTCCCATTTAAAGAACTCTTCCTTTCACTTGTATGATAGCTGGCAGTTGTTAATGAACTCTTGCAGATAAGAAGTTATTTTGTGCTTTTCAAATTTTTTTTCTTTTTTCAGAAAAAGGTATAACCACATACCTCCGTGAGGTTTTATTATGCTGTGCTGATGGCTCACACAATGTTGCAAATTGTTCTATCTACTAAAGCATCTCTAGCCTAAGCATCTGTGGGCTGCTGCCACCGACTGGATTCATGAAATATACTGTGTGATAACATCAGACTCTCCTTTATTATTTCTAATTCAGATCATGTCTACTGGATCATGTCTACTGGATACAGTCTTTTGAATCTACTTCCCAGGTGTTTTCTGTTACAAAGAACAGAGCAAACAACTTCCAAGGACTCTAAATGTAGCAAGACCATCTGTTGACCTCAGAAATGAGCTTAGTAATGGTGATGTCTTTTCTGTTGTATGTCCTGGAACCAGAAAATGCTTAAATTGTCTTTTGTTGTTGTTGTTGTTGTTTTTTCAAGTGAATTTTAATACCTATGGTTTGGATTTGAACACATGTCAAGGGACACTTCTAACAGTCGTTTTAGCTGTGTCTAAATATAGACACAATATAGACACACACACAATATAGAGATTGGAAAAGGGGGTGATAGGTATAGGGAGGGAACGAGCAAGATTACAGTGTCACTATTCCAGTCTGTAAGAATCTCCAGTCGCTGACTATTTCTTGTGTGTCTCTCTCTCCTGATAAATGTCACTATGCAGACACTGATCAGACAGTAGAATGCTTATGAGTTTATTTTGAGTTAATGGGTTGGTGGAAGTCCAAACTCTGCAACATGATAAAGAAAATATTTTTCTACGCAGAAGCATCAATTATTCACAACATAACCACACCTTAGGAAAAGAGGGGGAGAAATGGACTCTGGAAATAAATGAGAGGGCTCCATAATGTAAAAGTAAAATAGATCATTTTGAAGGAAAGGGACCACTGCAGAATCTAATTCATTTGCAAAATCCTCTCTTCTATTTAGGCTCCACAGTAATTGTTAAGTCTTCCCTTTTGATGAGTTTTATCAAGGTTTTTTTGTGTCTTTTGCCACTTGTTTGGGATGAAATCTAAGAATACATAACCAGCCCATAACCCAGGGAGGTGGTGGATTCACCATCCCTGGAGGTTTTTAAGATGAGACTGGATGTGGCATCAGTGCCATGGCCTGGGAACCACGGCGGGGTTGGATCAAGGGTTGGACTTGATGATCTCAGAGGTCTTTTCCAACCTGGTTGATTCTGTGATTCTTTCAGGCACTTTTGGAACATACTAGATCTCTTACTCATCCCAAAGACCCATATGCATATTGAATCTGCAAATATGCTTGGGAACTACTCTAAATCAGCACGCTACTTGGAGTTGTCACCACTTGGTACAGTGATGAATACTGTGTTCAAGATTTCTTTTTAAAATTTACTTTGTATTGCAAAGTGTCAGTTGAAAGTACCTGGTGTTATTATGGTCAAATATTTTATTAGAAGGAGTCCCACTAATCCAATAAAAACAAGAAGGTAGCTTACCAGGAATGTTTTTACGGAACAACTTAAAACCAGGCTGATCATATGTACAACTTCCAAGGTAAATTACAAACTTTGAAAATTGTTTTTTAATCCAAGTTATTCTCACTAATCCACATAAATATTTTTGACATTTATTATGTTTAATAAGTCTGTCCAGCCTTCACCTGGAAATACTAAAAGATATGTGTTGCCTCACTTTTGTCAATTATGAGCTACTGGAATAACCTTAAGAAGTTCTAGTAATATTTTTACTGTCTAGCACTGTCTTCAAAATACATTATACCCTCTCTAAGCTGATATTTGATGATAGGGAATCACAGATCTTTCAATAAACAAAACAAGATCCAGAATCTTTAAAGAGCTGGACCAGCTCCTAATCTCCAACAAAGTCTGGGCAAATCTCCCTGTAATTCTCAGGGTGTTAATAATTGAAAAAAAATATGTACCCCCACAGAAAACTGATATAGCCCAGTGGCTTGAGGAGAGTAGATGAAAAGTGTGGTTTGTGTACATATTCCCCTACTTGGTGACAAAAAACATACATTTTGAGAAATAAGAGAAAAAAACCCAAAATGCCAAACTCCATGTGATAAAAGAAATAATTATAATTAAAAATCTTAGTCAAATTTCTGTCAGAGGCATCTTTATCATAGCTCTACCTTCTTGCAAAGGGACTGTAATAAACAATTTAGTAAAAAAAGTGTTACAGTTACATTTAGAACACTGCAGGCTTGATCTGTTTGCCCACACATGGGCACATGGTACCAGTTAGGATGCTGCTGGTGCCTACCCAGCTGCCATCCCAGAAGGGTTCTCATAGGTTCTCTGTCACATCTGACAGCCCTCTGCATCAACACCATACCAAATTAAAAAAAAAAAAAAAAATTAAAAATTCTGCTAGTGCACTATTCAATAATTATAAGTGAAAAACTTTACTCTTAGATTTTTTTATTAACTTATTTTGCTTTTACAACCAGATTTCATACATTATATCCTAGTCAGTAGTTTAGCTAAAAAATTCCATCCAACATCCTTATAATCTGTAATAGAAACAAGCATAAAATAATTATACAGGAAGCAGGGAAATAGAGATTTTACACATCTAAATGCAATCTCTAGCAATTCAGGTCTTTTCTCAGGCTAATAATAGAGCTGCTTAGATTTAACAGTAGAAGACAATTGCATGTCACAGAGTGACATAATACAAAATGAGAAACTTTTCATATCTGTGAGAAAAATTACATTATTAGCATTCATAACATAACCTATAATGTACTCTATTTCCATCACTTAAGAGTAGTATTTGTTTCATCTATTCAGAGCAACTCTGGATATGAAGATCTAATTCCTGGACACAATCTTATTACAGCATCTGAGATCAACAGGACTGTTGTTGCCTTTCCTGCACTCACAGGACTTGTGGGTACAGACTCTGAGGACACATTCATGTTTAATTATTGTGAAAATGTCACATAAAGAAACAAGAAGAGCGCTAAATCACTGTACAAAGATTTAAACTGGAAGCTGGTAAGGTTTTAATAACACTCTGCTTGTGAATTATGCTTCCAATAACACATAAATGTATTATGAAGCTTTAGCTGGTATAAAGCAGTTTCTTATTGTTTAATGTATTTGAAAAGAGAATGGCTGTACTTTGTGGTAACAGAAATACCAATTATGTATCTAACTCTTAGTTTAATTCACTTAATGATAGCTGCAGTTAAGGCAAACACCAAGCTTAAATTCTTGCTCTTCAGTTTGTGAAAGCAGAGGACAATATTAATTCCCCATGTTTATGGGAGTGCAGTAATGGAAGCCTCCTCTTCCACAGGGACCCAGGCCCCTGCTGCACAGCCATGTGCCCTCATGGAGTGCCTCTCCCACCAGCTGGGCTCCAGCTGCACCCCAGGCCAGCTCCTGCCCGGTGCCCCATGGCCGTGGCAGCTCCTCCATCACCAGCCATTCCCCCTCACCTACCACAGCACCTCCAGCCTTTCCTCTGTATCCCAGGATATCCAACCACCCAACTGCTGCAGGCAAGGGTGGTGGGGCAGTTTGAAAGATGCTCACACACTTGGTGTATGAGGTGCCTGTGCACATGTGTTGGGAATCTCTGTGAGGAGAGGTCGGGGCCGCCCCGTGCCCGACACAGCGAATTCCAGCCAGTTCCAGGACAACCCCACCACGGGGCACAGCTGAGCCCCTCACTGACACTGGTGGTAACAACAGACAGAGGGGGAAAAACTGCAGAGTGTGGGGGACAATGCGTGAGAAACGATCACCCAGGTCAGAGGTGGAGGAGGAGCTCCAGGTGCCCCTGCAGCCCCCAGCAAGACCGTGGTGGAGCAGACTTCTCCCTGAAGGACCACAGCCTGTGGAGAAGATCCATGGAGGGGCAGGGGAGAAGCATGAACTCCAGGTTGTGTAAGTGGAGAATGGCACAGGTGCTTGCTCTGCCACGAGCCATGTGAATTGTCCTTACAAGAATCGAGCCTGCTAAGCCCACCTTGCTTCAGCAGGTGAAAGCAACAGCAGCACCAGACATTTTGAGGATGGCTTTGTGGCAGCCTTGTATAAAAAGCTGCTCAGCCTTCAGATTCTTCTTCATTTTACTGACTAATGAAGAGAGAAGGAGCTCTGTTCTTGCAGTACAATTACCACAATAAAGAGTTCCTTAAAAAAAAAATCCCATGTTGTTATACTGGGTTCTAGCGACAGACTGTCCCTCTGAAAGAAAAATCAACACATTATGGAAAACTTGGAAGAAGGGATATTTATTGTATTACAAGATTTTTACCTCATGTATATATGGAAGTATTATTCTGTTAAAAAAGGCCTCATCACAACCCTGACTGAAGGGGAGCCATGACAGAGCCTGACAGCTCAGATTTGTCCTGACTGCTTCTTTTCTGATTTAAATAGCAGCCTCCAGACACAGCCTCCCTCCCTACATCTGCTTTAGCTGGAAGTAAGAACATCCAAAATTTACACAGACGGACCCCTTTTGGCCTCAGAACAGCTGCCAGCCCTTCAAAAGCCACCACTATTCTGTTCCCACAGTTCCATCATTGAGAAGGCAACCACAATATTTCATGTATATTTAATACTAACATGAAATATTGATTAGCCTTTCCAGCTTTAAGTTCTGTTCAGCATTTTATCTCAAACCTCAGCTTGGCACCAAAAAAACTGCCACACAACTGGAAAGATTTCAGTCCCTAAATCCAGGAAAACTACAGTCAAGTGAGTTGCTTCTTAAAATCACAATTAGAAGTTTATTTGCATAATCACCACTCTTACACTCTAAATTATCTTTTCATTGCAGCAATACAGGAACTTTTTAAGAGATGTTAAAGGATTTGAGCCTGCATTATCTCATCACTCTTATGCAACCTGTCAGTAAATCAATGTATTGTGTATGACTGGACACGGCTGGCGTATCCTTCCTAGCTGTCTACCCCAGGAGTAAAACCCACTGACATTCTGGGCATTTCAGATCCCACAACTCAACCTCCAGTGCAACACAAAGCCCTCATACTGCAGCATCCCATCTCTAAAAAGAGTGCAAACTGGACCCAGCCCAGCCCCCTGACCAAGCATACAGGCTTTAAGGCTACCCCTTGGGCATCCCTGCCTGCCTGGACAGCCTTGCCCTGATGATCAGGGTACCCACAGCCTCTGCCACCTGCACAAGGGGCATGGGGGGTGAACAAAAGCAAAAACTCAACCCACACCAAGGTGGAGGATGCACATTGAGGCACAGTTGGAATTATACAGGAGGCATGAGTGGCACAGCACAGATTCTGTGCCAAGGCACCCACTGCAGAACAGCAGCATGAGGAAAGAGCAAGAGTGCTTCAAGATGGGGACACAGCAGCTGGGGGAACAAGAGGTGTCCAAGGAAAGGCTAGAGCCAGCCTGCCACACCTGCAACCCCTGTGTCCTACCACAGGAGGAGGGGGCTGAACCTGAGCACACCGTGCTCATGGGCACCCCACCTGGGTACTGGCACTGTCAGCTGGGGGACACAGCCTGCAACAGTCGGGCCCTCACCCAGCTCTAGTGGAAGCTCTGGAAGCTGCAGGCCAAACAATCACACCTCAGTGCTCATCTGCACCAGAAATGATGCTTTAGTGTGCCAGCACCCTCCTTGCCAGCTGTGAGGGCAGGGAGAAGTTAATCTTCAGTTTCTCCCCAAGGTGGACAAACAGCTTACATCCAGCTCAAAGAATTGGGATGTGTTGTTTAAAAAAAATAATTTAAAAAGTTTACAGCTTGCAGTGTGAGGGGGAAAGGGCTTGTCTTCCACAGGCTCCAGCTACTTCATCCACTCCCCACCAGACTTCTTTGAAGAAACAATGTGCTGATACATTAAGAGCCCCTCTGAATAATAGTCACACTTCTGTCTTCTACTATGACTCCCTCCAAAACTCTACCTTTCAAGCCCAGAAAAAAAACCTCAACCCCCACTTAAAATATGCATTTTGAAATCCAATTAAAACTGTTCTCTGCTATATTAACCACTGGCTAATCAACATCCTTTCCTGGCTTTAAGGAGAGCAGCTGCCAAGAAGTGACCTTCAACTCACTCACACAGCAGAGGTTTTGTTAGAGACATAACCCTGAAAGAGATGAGTTCCAGCTGAATGTTACGTCATGTTTTAAGATGTTAAACATTTTAAAATATACAAGTCACTTAAGTTTTAAACAAAGTGCTAAAATACAAAGACCAAAGCTTTTCCTTAATTAAGACAGTATATTAATTCTGCTTATCTCTGCTTTTGCTGAAACAGGTGACATTACAGCTCACTTCACATGTCCATAGCCATTATTCCCTATTTCACACTAAACTTCCACCTTATTAGTCAGACAGGTTTTTTCCAGGGACAACTTTCATTTGAGCAAGCCTCATGTTTTAACAAGAGGAACTCTCACCAGTACCCATCTTCTCCCTAATGGAGTAACAGACCTTCACAATTCTTGTAGTTCCATAATTACAGGTATAAGATGTAGGAATTCCTCCTGTCTTTAAACAGTGCCAGTTCATCTCAGAGGGTTAAAAAAATAAAAATCACATCTTATGCAACAGACTAATAAAAACACTACATATCAGCATAACAAGCAATATGTAACTGGCAGTTCTGCTTGTGGAGGAAGTTTTGCAAAGCCTCCTGGTGTCAAGCATCTGGAACACCTCAGCATGCTGTAAAGTAATAGCCCAGCTCCTTGCTTGCAGAAGAAGCATGCTGTAAAGTAATAGCCCAGCTCCTTGCTTGCAGAAGAATCAAGTGTGTATTCCACATACTTAGCACTGCTTTCCCTTGTGTCAGCAGCTCCTGTGAACAGGTCCAATCCATCCAGACACCTTCCATCTCACAACAGTGGTATACTTGAAGAAAGGGACACAAGTTTCAGTCTATATATGTGGAGCATTAAATGCAACTAGGCAGGCAGGATAGAACCATAGGAAAGTCCTTCAGGAACATCCTTGTTCAGTCATTTTGTTTGCTAGAGTTGCATCTGTGACACAGAAGTGTTTACTTAGGACTGTGGGCTCAGAAGGGGGCTGCAGAAGCCTTCCAAATTCCAGAGGCACAAGGTGGGGATACTTCTATATATCCAGAGTCAGCTGAATGAAGCAAACAGCTAAAAAAATTCCTTTGACTTTACCTGTGTTATCAAATATACTCAATAGCAAGATCACTGCATCTCAGCTGTCTGTGCTGACACTTCACAGAAACCAGGAGAACATTATCAGCTGCATTTCACATTCTCCTTCTCATCAGCATCTGAATAGGTGTGTAGTGAATCCTTTGGGGAGAAAGAAGACATAAAAAAAAAAAAAAAAGGAACAGATTTCTTTTGTGCCCACTTCCCCTTCATTCCTTACTGCAAGAGGAAGACCAAAGAATCCCAGCCTATCCTTTCACCCACAGTGCCAGGTAGTTTTATACAATCCCAAAACTACTGTAGCTATTTTACCACCAAGAGCTGCCCTGCCACATGCTCTCTCTGCAGTTTCATCTCTCCTGCCACTACAAGTTTTAATTTGAATGGTCTTGCTTAGGAAGAAAAAGAAGCATCTCAGGGCCAACATCTCTCATCTTGGTAGCACAAAGCAGGCTTTGCTAGCATGAGGTTTTTCTTTACCTGGGTTAAAAGCTGATGACGCCTCAGCTGTCTACAGAAGTGCAGCACAGAAGGATCAGCTCTCACTACTTTTGGGTCAAAATCCAGAACACGGAGACCTGCAAGGCTGCGGGCTCGGGAGAGGGCTACCTAAGCCTACCCACTTTCAAAGACACGAGACAGGGAGATTTCCACACAGTCTAAAGACATGCCCTGCCAAAGACACAGAGAACTTTGTTACAGAACAAACAAACAAGAACACTGTGCTGTACCAACACTAACCTGTGAGTCTGTCAAAGGTACCGTTCTTGGTGTAAGGGCTTGATTAAAAAAAAAAGAAAAAAACAAAGAAGTCTTTTGTTTTACTGTGTAACTGATTAAAAGATGAGAATCAGAAAGGAAAGGCAGTTTCCTACTGTCAGTAAATTGCTAGCAGATAGTAGAATCCACTAACTCCAGAGAACCTCTTGTTGCATGAAACTCCATAAATCCCATCTAATCAACACAGCAGGGAAAGAAATCCTGCTGGTTTCACTCCTAGTAGTTAACTAGAGCAGTCACCATTCTCAAGCAGTCCTCAGGCAGATCAGAGAGTTTGGGTTAGGCCTGTCGGCAGGGCTGTCCTGGGCACAGCAGAATTTACAGCCTGCCCTGGTTTAAACAGTGCACAGGAACAATAAGCAGTGGCATGGGAACAAACTCACAGGTTTCCAAGACCAGTATTCATCAAAGTGTATGAAGCCTTCTGGAAGGGAAGGAACTTTGAGAAAGTTACACTGTTACATTGAAAAAAACCAAACACACCCCACCAAAGAGCGAGTTCAGCCCAACGAGAGCTGTGGCTCTGGCAGCTGCCTCAGTTATACTGTAAACCTCAGGGTCTCTCAGTGCTGATGACTCTCAAGGAAACACTGCTCTCATCAGCCCACAATGGTAAATAATGCTACTTTATAGTCCAACACCAACTAGCAGATGGCAGCACCCCATGGAAACTCCAGCAGTGTATCTAGTCCATCTGTGACCCTATAGGCAGGCATCATGAGCAGAAGAGGTGCAGCTAAACACACATATTCTGGAGTTCCCCCCCCCACAAGGGCCTTTCAGCTTTCCCTTCTGTTTTACCAGCAATGCAAGCTCACCCAGGAAATAAGGCTTATGATGGTGTGCAAGTCTTTAGACAGCTGTATAAGGACACCCACCTGACTCTTGTGAATGGAAATGGCCCATGCCAATTTTAAAGGCAGCTGTTGACGACTCAGGTGAACTCCTGATGGTCCTTTGAAGACCCATTTCTCCATTCTTATGACCTGTGTGACCCCACAGAGAAACCTCACCTTAGGCAGCCCTGTAGGAATGGGAGCAGGAGAGAAACAGAGATGTATTCCTGACACTCAAAAGCCAGGAAGTCAGCAGCCTAAGAACACTTTTTTCCCCCCCTCCTAAACCAAACCTAAACCCGCAGACAGTAAATAGCATGCACTGAAATGATGTTTGGTACCTACTTAAGGCAGGAGAATTAAAGTCAGGTAATTTATCAGCTGAGATGCAGAGAAAAATACACATTGCAGGTAGCAGAACATTATTCTTTGAGAAAAAACAAACAAAAACTTGCTTGAACAAAAGAAAACAAGAAATGCAAATGAGCACCCACATCTAGACAACACAGAAAAGCAAACACAAGAGGCCCATAGATAGCTACAGCTGATGCAGTGCATGACATAACAGCTGGTGAGAGCCCCAAGCCTGCAGAGATCTCCTCCCTGCTTTCCCTCTAATTATTCTTACCAGGCAGTAAACAAAGTTGAGAAGTCATCAGCCATCAATGAAAAATCGTTTTGTTATTTTTCCCCCTCTTCCTTCAACAAGAGATCAAGAAGCTCACTTACCCTTCTGTTCACTTTCAAATCCTACAACAACGCCTCGTGCCCCGTTCACCAGCCCTTGAGACACATCCAGATTCTTTGCTAGCATCACCTACAGAGAAAAAGAAAAATCCTTCAGTGCACTGGGTTTACAGCCTGTTCAGCCACCTGCAGTTAAGCTTCTTTCCAGGAAGCATAAGCACATCAGGCTGATATGACCATATCATCCTATCCTGCCTATTGCAGGAGAGAGCACCATCTCCAACTGAAATTATTTCAAAGCCTTTCCTTCCTAGGATTCCCAGCTATTTTACAGCATTGAACACTTCACTTGAGCTGCTTCCATCCAGAGCTATGAGCTGCCTATGCTCTCTGCTACTGAAAGCTTCTAAACCTGATTGGAAAAGTGTGTCAAAGTCACAGCAATCATCATTGTCCCCAAGACATGGACTGCACTCAAATCAAACTCATTTTCTGTTTCGATAAGATTCCAAGCAGAGAAAATATAAAAGATTGGAATAGAATCTTCTGTTGGCCTGGCATAGACATTCTATATTGAATCTGCATTCTGTGTATTAATCTACTCTATATATTTATCTGATATTCCTTCATTTTTCTTATACCATTTGATCTGCTGTTCTATCCCGTGTGTATGTACACACACTTACCTGAGCTCCAAGCTTCAGCTCAACTCTACCACCCACAGGACACTGAGCATCAATTAACTTCACTAGCATTGGGTCACTATCCAAAGCCTCAAACGTGTGCACTTCTCCTGTTAAGGAAAGAAAGACATAACAAATTGCAGCTGTTGAACACATTATACACAGCATGACAGGAGGCTCAGCATTTATTTCTAATAGCAATTTCTCTTTTAATATCCATTCTGCTCTGCTGCTAGGACATCTTCACACAAACCTTGTCACATCTAACAACAGAGAGCTCACTATTGCCTCTCTTCCCAACAGAATTTGCAGAGCATGAAAAGGCACAGGAATCAAAGGCCAGCAGTAAATAAGAACTGAGCAGCCAGCATTTTGAGCATATGACTAGTTTCATTTGCTGCCAACATCAGATCACTAAAGGAAGTATCCAGAAAATATTGCCAGAAAGGGAGGCAAAAATTGAGAAAGCCCTTAATAAGATGCAATAGAAAGAAAAAGCAGAGGTGTGGAGGCAATAAATGACCAACCCTGTTTCATAGCAATCAATGAGCTTGCTGTCTATTACACACCAAGAAGTGACACTGAATATTTAACCAAAAAACCTGAAGTTTTTCCCCAGGCAGCCGAACTCCAACACACAGACCTTTGACTGGTGCTGCTGTGCATGACAGAACACTAGTTCTTCCTGACACCACAGTATCCCCACTGCATCCACTCAGAGCTCAGCCCCAGAGCCAGCAGTTTCCTCCAGGGAGTTCACCTGATAGCTGTTGCAAGCGTCTCTCATTAGTTATTTCGACATCATCTTTATGGGTGCAGAGCCGTGTAGCCAGGATCCCATCACGCTCAGACCTGTTAGTAGCTGTCTGCATCAGCTGCCTGGTAACCTCCTCTGTGCACCTGGTAACCAGGAAAAGGGAGTTATTCTTTAAAGTGATCAGGAACAGGTCTTCACACAGCTGGATCTGTCTGTGAAAGCTGCAGGCCTCCAGAGAGGAGGACAGAGAAAGATATATAAAAGTTGGAGAACAGTGCCAGTGTGTGGGCCCTGGCCACTGCCAGCTCAGGATTCATTGAATTAACTCACAGAAATCAAGGAGGAACCCTAGAAAGTGTCCTTCCTTACCAGAGCAGGATATATGAAATCTGCCTATGTTAACTAAAGCTGTTATAGCTTTTGCCCCCAGCTACATATACCTGATAGAGCTCAGAAAAGTGACAAACTGCTCTTTCTTCTGCTCCATAGGTGGGGAGCAGAGATTACAAAGAGATGAGTTTCTCCTCACCTGCCTAAACGTATTGCACTCAGGAGTGAGACAAAGGTCTTGTCAGTCTGTCGCCGCACTTCAGTCAACTCCATGTTTATGTGGATACATTTCCTCCAGCTTTTTGCCTGCAAAAATCATTCTCTGGTTAAGAAAGAGACAGACTTGAAGTATGAGAATGAGTTCAGGGGCAGTTTTGTACCTGGAAGCAGAACTTGGTTTCTTCATTAGCCTTGCAAACTGGAGGTAGCTGCAAGAAGTCCCCACAGATGATTAGCTGAATTCCTACAAAAGGCTCATCCCGTTTTCTGACTGCCCTGAAAGAGATGGAAGAGAGAAGTTTTGAATGTCCTCCAGAACCTGGACATACTCAGATCTCAGAAGTTACTTGTTAATCTGTCAGGATATTCAAATATACACCACCTGCATTTAAAAGATGTTTATCCTCAGCTGAATCAGAAGAGCTCATACAATTAAGCAATGGTAAGACATTAAAATTTGCTTTGCTTACCCACCCAGATGCCATTACCAGTCTTTCTTTGGTGGCTATTATGCTACAGCTGCTTCCCTCTGCAAGAGAAAACTTCTGGGAACAGCTGTATTCTGGACTCAGCTCTATAGATAACACTTAGCTCAGGAGATGGAAAGAGCAACTAGAACAGCCACAGCTGTGAGTGAAGACGGGACACAATCAAAACCTATCTCATGATAAAGATCTGCCCAGATGCTATGATTCCATGCTTCCTTGCAGTCCTATGCCATCAGCTGCCTTGTAACAATTCACAAAACCCGAGGAAGGAAGTAGCCTGGAAATTTAGGAAAATTCATTTCAGTTAGTTGTTTGACCTGACGTTTGCTTACCTTGCCACTGCCTCCAGCCTGTCAAAGAACTTTCCATCTACCATTGAGATCTCATCGATGATCAGGTGCTGGCAGGCCAGCCAGTGCTGGCGCACCCCCGGCCTCTCCGCCAGCTGAATGCACTGTTCCAGCGGTGCCTTCCCAGAGCCGATCCCTGGCAGGGGAGAAGAAAGCAAAGCTTTGGGAAGCTCCTGATTTATTGGGAAGGAAGTGAAAGCTCCCAGCCCCTCGCTGTCGGGCAGGCATTACCTGCAAAGGCATGGAGAGTGGTGCCACCGATGTGGCAAGCGGCCACTCCCGTGCTGGCTGTGGCATAGGTGACGTTCGGAGGGAGGGAGCCCGCGATCCTCTTCAGCAGGAGGGACTTCCCAGTCCCTTCGAGGAGAGAGAAGCAACAGGTCAACAGCGAGGCCCGAGGGCTTTCCCCAGCGAGAGCCGCCGGGCGCCCTCACCTGCGCAGCCGGTGAAGAAGATGCTCTTCCCGCTCCGCACGGCTCCCAGCACCGCCTCCTGCTCCGCCGAGAGCCGCGCCGGGGGCCGCCTCTCGGCGCGGGGCACCTGCGGGACAGACAGACAGTGGTGCGCTGTGAGGGCAGCGCCCGAACCCGGGCCCGGTACCGGGGCCGGGGCCGCCCCTCGCCCCGGGACTCACCTCGGCGGGGCACTCCCCCCGCCCATCCCCGCAGCCGTGGCGGGGGCCGGGGTTGCGCAGCAGGTCCCGCTCCTGTACCGGGCTGATCACGGCGAAGGACGCCGGCGGCCGCTCCAGCAGGGGCGGGGGGCGCGCCGGGCCCCGCGACCCGGCGACCACTTTGAGCCGCAGGAGGCGGAGGAAGCGGCGCAGCGCGTCCGGGGGGCAGTCGGAGAGCAGGACCTGCGCGCCGCCCGGCCCCACTCGCACCGCCGCCCGCCCCTCGCCCGCGAACCGCGTGAAGAGCCGCACGGCGTCCCCGCTCAGCGCGAAGCTCAGCACCGCGGCCGCGCCGCTGCCGCCCACCACCCGCAGCACGGGCTGGCGCAGCTCGTTGCGGCCCAGCAGCACGGTGGCGTCCCGCAGGACGCAGCGGCGCGGGCCGCAGCCCCCCGGCAGCGGCTCCTCCACGGCCGCCGTGCAGAGCCAACTGCGCCGCCTCCATCGCCCCGCTGGCCGTTTGAACGCGCCGCGTGCGCCGCCGCCAATCGGCGCCCGGGGGATTTAACCCGGCGACCAATGGGAGGCGGGAAAGCGAGCCGGCCAATGGGCGGCCCCGCGGGCCCCACGTGAGGCGTTGCCAGGCAGCGGGACGCGGGGCCGGCGCGGCCATGGCCGCCCGCGGCGGGCAGCGGGAGCGGCCGGACGCGGTGCAGCTGGACCGGCTCCTGAGCGAGCGGGTGCACAAGGAGATGCGGCACCGGAGGCTCTACACGCAGTACACCGTGAACCCGCTCCAACCCGGTGAGGCGGGGGCGGGCCCGCAGCGCTCAGCTGCGCGGCGGGGATAGGCAGCTGCACCCAGGAATGGCAGCAGCGGCCAGGGACGGGGTAGACCTGGAAGGAGCAACCGGAGGGCCTTTCTTTCGCCTGAGGAGCCGGTCTGCACACTCAGAGGCAGCAAGGAGACATGCCTCGGATAGCCTTTAGTAACCTTGGAGAAGTGAGGCAACTATTTAGGATGCGGAACATACAAATCCTGAGCAAATACAGAGCCAAGATGGGGTAGAGAGCCCAATCACTACACCACATTCCTTCAGCCCTTGGACCTTCTACCTGTCAATTCAGAGTCACAGAATATCGCAGTCTGTGCTGGCACAGACAGGTGATGGGAGTATATTCATTCAGGTCTAGCTTTTGCAGTAAAACAAAAACCAAAGGAAAATAATTTCCTGAGACTTGGCACTCACAGGCCACCACTTGGGTTGGGGTGGGACTTTGGTGTGGTGAACACAGGCAGCTTTAGGTAGAAGGGCCTTCAGCATGCTTAAGCCCCTTGCCTTCCTAGGAAATTGCCATTAATCAGTATCTCTAACTCATTTTCTGCTATTCACGTGCCATTCTTCCTTTACAGCTTCAGTGAAGTAGCTGGATCCACACTGGGGAATAACCAAAAAGAACATCTGTAATGATACATATTCTGTACCTGGCTGTGATGCTAAATTCATGTTATTCACCTGTATCATTTCTTTCCAGTTTACACAGTCACCAGGAAGCTTCAGTCTTCCCCGTTGGAAGAGGTCACTTAAGACTTCTGAGGGGCCAGATTGCCAAAGCCCGGCCAGTCCATTCCCACGAGGAAAGGCAGCTTGGTCTTGGACAAGATACTGGGGGGGAGACACAAAATAAAAGTTTAATTTAAAGCAACTGCCTACAATAGAAAGCAATTCAAACATAAGGCAGACAAGACTCGTGCAAATCTGAATACATTTGACTTCAAAGGAGAATTATTTCCCTCTGCACCTAACAGAATGTCATTTTCACCCAGGTCCTGCTTACCATCCTCGAACAAAATGTGCTGACAAAATTTTTCATGATGACAGTGGAGAGATATTAGAGCACACTGCACAGGGAAGCTGAGCCCATTCCTGGAAGTGTTCCAGGCCAGGCTGGATGGGACTTGGAGCATCCAGTCGGGGATGAGTGGAAGGTGTCCCTGCCCACGGAAGACAGGGTGGCCTTTGAAGGTCCCCTTCAAACCAAATCGCTCTGGGATTCCCCTCCAAAATCACTACCCAAGAGACACAGCAATCAAAGCAGAAGGACTGCGCTCCCAGCTTTTCTTACCTGCAGGCACACAGCACGTTGGACATAAAAGCCACAGGGTTAGTCCTGCGAGAGGTGTCCGGCAAAACTGACCCCAAAACCTGACTGCAATCATCCCAAAAGCTGACCCAAAACTGACCCCAATCATCCCAAAAGCTGACCCAAAACTGACCCAAATCACCCCAAATAATGACCCCAAACTGACCCCAAAAACTGACCCAAATCATCCCAAAAACTGACCCAAAACTCTGCATTTATTTGGCACCATTTCCTCTCAGAAACAACATCTCCGATTTAGTTGATTGCTAAAGCCATCATTTTAAAATCATCCCAGGAATCAAAAGGGACTGGAAAACACACAGAAATCATTCCTGCACCCACCAAATCATTAGGAATTGGAACCCGATTCCCTCATCTCTCTCCTTGTGCTTCTTGGCTGGAAAACCTGATGATCCCCGCTGGCTATTTTTAGGCTGCTTTTCTTCCACAGCTCCTTTCCTCCCGGCTGAAACCTCCTGGCATATTCAGGGCTTACCTGGAGGGAAGCCCCTCTGAAGTATTTCCTCTCGCGGCAATTCTGTGGGATTAAGAAGTAAAAAAAGCACGTCAAGAGCTCCTTCTCCCCCCTTCCCTCGCAAACACCCTCCCAGTTTGTCCTTGGCAGCTCCATCCCCCCGGCACCCGCACCCGACGCTTCGGCTCCGCTGGGAAAGGGACAGCAAGTGCACAAGCAAGTCCAGTGCTGGGCAGGGGCTCCCTGGGGAACGGCACTTCAGTGCTTTAGTCCGTGGCCTTTCCTGCTGCCCTCCCTCCCGGAGGTAGAGGATGACCCATCCCTTGTTTCTCCCACACTCGCAGACCCAGGTCCTGCTCCTTTGGCCCCACTTTTCTTAGCAGACCCGGCATCATTTCCCAGGGTCCCCAGGAAACTTCTGCACTTGACCCATTGCTAAGTGCAGAGCACAGGGCGAGGGAAGGACAAATTTCTCGGCACCCACCCCCTGGAATTTTCCTTCTCCGCAGCACGCTCCCATTCCCGCTGTCTCTGGAGGTGCCCGCACGAGTCCTCCTTCTCCCAGCACCTCAGAGAATGTCCTCTTCACCCGGGTCCTGCTTACCGGCGTCCAACAAAACACGCTGACAACATTTTTCAGGATGCCAGTGGAGAGATATTAGAGCACACTGCCCAGGGAAGCTGAGCCTGCCCTATCCCTGCAAGTGTTCCAGGCCGGGCTGGACGGGACTCGCAGCAACCGGAGACAGTGGAAGGTGTCCCTGCCCACGGAAGACAGGCTGGCCTTTGAAGGTCCCCTTCAAACCAAATCGCTCTGGGATTCCCCTCCAAAATCACTACCCAAGAGACACAGCAAGCAAAGCAGAGGGACTGCACTCCCAGCTTTTCCTACCTGCAGGCACACACAGCACAGCACAGCACGTTGGACAGAAAAGCCACAGGGTTAGTCCTGCCAGAGGCGTCCGGCACACCCACGGCGACCGAAGGGAAACAGGGAGCCTGGGAACACGGAGTAAAAGACACCTTAATTAGGACTACACTGAGCAATAGCCAGGTCATTCCCACAGACAGCTTCACCGTCCGGTCACACAAAAAGCACTGACCTACCAGGGCCTCAGTTAGGATGGCTCCTGACGCTGACACCTCCGTTTGCCCCGGGGGGTCAAGAAGAACATCCCTGGGAAGAAGTCACCCTGAACAACAAAAAGGCAAAATTAGTGAAGCACGGGGTCCTCTTCTGACTAGATTGCCACCAGCATTCCATAGCAAATGCCACGACTATTCTGTTACAGACGAGAAAACCCTGTTCTCCCAAACAAACAGCCAGGAGATTTATGGGCACGCCTGAAAATTTCCTGTGAGGAACTTTTTGTAACTAAGGAGCAGGTGCTATCTTGAGTTGAAGGCATCAATTTGACAGACACTTAGTACAGCAAACTCTTCAGCAGAGCAATTAATTGCTGCCTATTTGAACAGCAGGGGAGAGAAAATGACGGTCGAAGGGAAGACAAGAAAAGTAGAACTGGAATCAGCAGCCTTTTCTTCCATCTCTCCCGAGAAAGTCTAGTTTGTGTGTTCTAATAATTCTATGCCCTTTTCTACACGAAACTTAGACCAAGGCTGAAAAAACAACTAGAAAACACGGAGAGAAGCTTTTTAGAATTTCACGTGATTTTCCCAAACTGATCCCAGAAAAGCAGAACTCGGTAGAATGTGCTCACCTCGAGGCCTTTGGTCTTTTTTTCCATAAGCTTCATCACCTGATTGAAAAAGCAGAGTAGACTCGGTATTTAGGCTCACAACAGGAAAACTTCCCCTTGTTTCCTAAAAGACACTACATTAATTTGCACAGCTGCAGGCGCGTCTCCAGATGTTAAAGCCTTTCAGCTTTTCAGAGGGTGAGAATGCCCTGCTAAGGAAGGCTGAAAAATGCTGGGAGCCTGCCCAGGTCAAAGAGCCCCTTGATTTTGTCTGTGTTCCAGTCCCTGGCTAAAGAAAGGGCAGAACCACCGCAGGTGTTGCTTGCCTTTCCCCTACGAGGTTTTGCCAGGCGCTGGGCCAGCCCGGGCACTGCGGGGGAAGGCCGGCAGTGGCCAAAGCCCGCCGCTTTCCCAGGGCAAGCGTCGCTTGCGAGAGCGCCCCCGAGCGCCGGGCCCTGCCTCACAGTCGCCGCCTGGCGGACACGGCCGGGAGCGGCACTGCAGCCGCGCGCGGCGCTGCAGCCGCGCGCCCCCCCCCCCCTTGGCGAGACCCGCGGCGCCTTTCGCGCGTCCGGGCCTTTCTTCCCTAAAACCTGCCCTTGCCTAGGAAAAGCTGAGCAGTTCACAGAGTTGCTGTTTCCAGCCCAGCTTCCCAAAGGATTTCTCTCTCCCGGCAGCACAGACAGGGTCCCCGAGGCAGCGCAGACCCTCCCCGCGGGGGGGTGTGGTGCGTGTGCAATGCCAGGGCACATCCGAACCCGGCCCTGCGGCGGCACGCAGGTGCGAGTTTCTCCGCAGAGGCGGGAAACTTGCCTGTCGCTTCCCCGGCCTGCAGTCGTCGATGGCCGCGGGAGAGGCAGAAGAGCGGCCGCGCCTCCCCCGCCGCGCCCAGATTACCCCGGGGACGATCTCCGTCGGATCTGCCGCCGTGGGTCGCTTCCGGGGGGGGAAGGCGGCGGCGCAGCCCCGACAGCATCTCCAGGGCACTGCGGGACCGAGCGGGGCGGAGCGGAGCGGAGCGGAACGGGGCGGCGCGGCGTGAGCGCCCGGGATCCTCTCGCGCCCCGCCGCGCGCCGCGGCGCCGTGACGGGGCTGCCCGCGCCGGTGCCTGCCGCCGCCCACGAACCTGCCGCCCGCGCCCGGCGCCGCCGAGCGCCCCGCCTTGTCCAGTGCAGCTGCCAGAGGTCCCTCCGGACTGTGGGACAGGCAAAAACCCCACGGCAACGGCGAACACGGATTTTGG